CCCTCGAAATTTTCCATACCTCCATTCATCTGTATTTGGATGGTATCTCTTTCTCATAAGCATTTTCTAAGTTACATTTTCATCACCATACTTGAAATTCAGAACATAGAATTTGCAATGCTCTGTTTCTTCTAATTTATATTTCTTTTAATATTTTCATCAATAGTTAATATTAACTACCATTTGAGAGCTTGCTCTATGTATTAAACATTTAATAGAGTGTCTGACATTCACTGTCTCATTTCATCATCTCTAAAAACCTTTGAAGTGAGTATTTTTATTCTCTACGATTCACAGATAAGGTTAAGTCACTTATCCAAAGTCACAAGCAAGTAAACAACAAAGCAGGAATTTGTACCCACGTCCATTCAACTCCAATGTTCATCATTTACCTTGTAGAAAATTCTATCTCAACCTTTTTAGTCTTACTTTATAAGAATATCAATTGTCATTAATGCATTTTCATTATTGGAACACTGCACAAAACAATTAAACTCTCATTAGTGAAAGCAAGCCTCTGTCAATTCTGGTTCAGTCTAATGCAAAATATTCAAAAGGAGAAAATTCAAGAATTGTTTTGTTCCTTCTTCTATCCTCTCTTCACACTTTATCAAGCAGTACCCTGTTAGTCCTAAGAGACTCAAGTTATTTTAATGGGTCTTTCCCTCTGTTACTCCCTCTGTTTTTTCCTGTATCCTAATTACTCTGAATTCATTTTTATTGATAGATAGTGTAAGTGTGCATAAGATCACCACAATTTGAAATTATTCCTTTATTTTCATTAACGTTACGATACCCACATCTTCTATAGTTGATATTAGTACACATATTCTTTATTATCAGATATAAAATATATCATGTATCTATAAGTATATATACACAGAATTTAATGACATTAAGTGAGTAGTATATCTTTATGTAACTTAGTGTGAATATGTTAAATTTTTCATTTTTATCATATTTTATATATTTATATGTATCTATATATAATTTAATGGTATTAAATCAGCAGCTTGTTTCAGATTAAGTAGTTCTCAAACAATATATAGATTGGTTTCTTAAAACATTCCTTTTATAACTTTTCTCTCCTTTCCACTTTCACAATTGAAATGCTAGTCATATTCATATCTTTTCAAACACATTAAAGATTAAAAAGCACAATTATATTTAAAAGGAAAAAGAAGATGCCATACCTTTATGTGATACTTTCTCTAGAACTTCACTGTCCAATATGGTAGCCATTAGCCACACCTGGCAATTTAAATTTATATTTGAATTAATTAAAATTACATAAAACTTAAAATTTAGTTTCTCAGTTGCAATAGCCACATTTCATGTGGCTAGTGGCTACCACTTGGGGCAAAGCATATACAGAACATTTTCCAGAATCACAGGAAATTCTGCTGGATAGTGCTGATCTAAGACGACTCAATAGATAAGTCATGCCTTGCAATTTCTCTTAAAATTATTCCCCCACCACGAATGGATAAAGGAAATGTGGTATATGTATACAGTGAAATACTATACAGACTTTTAAAAAGAAGTAAATTCTGCAATATGTAACAACATGGATGGATTTTGAGGACATTATGCTAAGTGAAATAATAAGCCAGCCACAGAAAGACAAATATGGTAAGATTCCATTTATGCGAGGTACTCAAAATAGTCAGCTTCACAGAATCAAAGAATAAAATCCAGGGTTTGGGGGGAATGGGAATTGGGGAATTACTAATCAGTAAGCATAAGTTTCAGTTTAGCAAAATGAATAAGCTCTAGAGATCTGCTGCACGTTATACCAACAGTCAACAATAACATAATAAACACTTAAAAATTTAAAAGAGTAGATCTCATGATTTTTGTTCTTACTACAATATTTTTTTTTTAAAAAAGGGCTATATCCAGCATGGTTCTGAGGAAAACAAATGATAGATAATAAATCATCCTTTTACTATTAAGAAAAAGACTATTATCTTCCTTTCTATCTCTCTCTCTTTTTTTTTTTTTATTGCCAATGCTTAGTCTTCTGAAATTTTTCTACTCACTACCACTTTGAAATAACAGTCCTGGAAATATTTTACAATGTAAGATCAATAATGCAAATGTCCTCCAATTCAAAAAGTCTCCCATTACTTTTTCTTAAACAAAATAGCCAAGAGACCTTGAGTCAATTTTTGTTATTTCCCCTTGCTCCAAAACTTAAATAACAAATCAAAGTAAAACAAGACTTCCTAACAGAGTGTGCAATCCTTTGTAAACTCCAGTGGTTGAGACCACTGTTCCTGTAGTAGGTGTGGTCCTGTACTGAGAATTTTGCTTCTAGAGTTAGAAAAGAACTCCTCAATACTGTGTTACACTTTTTATAGACAGGTCATTGTTTCAGCTCTTAAATCTTGTATTTCTACCACTGTAAGCAAGTTTACAACAGGCTTCTGGTTTTTACTTTGCTTCCTTATTTTCTGAAAAGTTTGAAACCAATAGAATACAAATGTGAAAAGCTGACCAAAGTTAGGATTGTAATCTATAGTCATGGACCACGCAAAGGATCAAATCTCTAATCGTAGCACACTCTTTGACTGAGATATCCTTGACAACAAAAAGTTTATGTCTGAATACATTACTGTGAGAAAAAAGAGATACATCATCTACTGTATCTTTTCTTAACGATTAAAAAGGAACTACCAAAACACAGACTTAGTATTTCAATATGAAAACTAGAAAAGGCAGCTAAAACTCTTGAAAGCATTGCCCATGGAAAGACTGCAGTGAAGAATAATGAGTCAAAGAAATATTGTATTTAGTCCTATAAGCCTTTTAGTTGATTTTTAAATCATGTGCATTTTACAAATAATTTTTACAATAATAAAGTTGCTTTTTAAAAAATTATGGAAACAATCTGATTGTCCACCAGTTGAGGAACATATGATTTGATGTCTTATAATAAGATATGTGAACCATTACAAAATATATGACTTTGCAAAATATTTGACTTTTGCCATATTTATTTATATATAACTGACCTAGATTATATTTACAAAAACATCTTAGTTAATGGCTCTTCCCAATTCATTAAGAATAGACCATTTCACAAACTTTTAAAATATTTTTTAAAAAAACAATTTTTATGGAAACAAACATGTTAGAAAAGCAAGAAAATATTATAGAAATGATACCGACCAACTTTAGACTAATGAAAGTCACAAAAACTGGAAAAGGTAGGAAGAAGAAAAAAAAAAGGAATGGTAAGGGATAAGAGAAGGATATTGGCTGTGTCTATAAAGATTTATTTTTTAATATCTGTCAAATCCTTTCGATGGGGAATGTTAGATCTAAGTGGTAGATGTCATATTTACTGTACTTTTCAGTTATTTTGAAATATTTTTTCACTTCTTAAAAAAATTCCACCTTCATTGTTCAAAGTGTCCTCAGTTTATATGAAATTTTCCAACTAAATACACCCTATTTTCTGCTGCTCCTTTTAGAGAAGTGTGTAGAAACTTCAATCTCAGAAGAGCAGTTATCATTATTAAACACAATGTGCAAGAGCACATGTAAAACAACAAGCCATATTAATAATCTACCCGTATACCAGCCACACCAGTGATATATCAAAAAATGTATCTATATTTGCCTCATGCATTTCAGCCCTACTCAAGTCCTTGGCCTCTCTTATTTTGCTTCCTCTTCCCCCAACTTTGAGAAGGAAATGAAGGTTAAACACCAAGTATGTAAATATTCAAATTTCCAAAATCATGTAAACCTACATTTTAAAATATAGCCATTGTAAAACAAAGGTAGATTTTATTGAGTAAAGATGTGTTGTACTCACTGCAAATGCATCACCACTGGAGAGCAGTAAGACCAGGTGCTGTCTGTGCCTAAGCAAACAAAAAGAATCATGACAGAGTTGAAGTTAGGTTGACAGTTCTGGTATTTTCAAATTAAAAAAAAATGTAATTTTTATCTAATCTTATTTGTGATTTTCTAGTAGCTCATTCTCAGAAAACTGCAGGTTACTTAATTGACTATAGCTAAGAATGAGTGATGCTGGGACCCAAAACACTTACAATTACACAGTTAAAAGGAAGAAGTTTGTCTTTTTCCATTTGTACAGGTTATGCAGACTTACTCAACTTTTAGAAAATCTACTATTAAAGGTAGCCTAAACATTGTCCATAAATCTAAACTTTATCTAAATTTTCAGCTCTATTTCTATTAATAGGGGAAGTTGTCAGATAAAAGAACATTAATTTCAGGACCAGCTGTTAAGATTCATGTTAAAAATATTCAATGCACTGTTCATAATATGCTAAAGGATTGTGCTCATAAAATGGAGATGGCAAAGTATCAGCATCAATTCAGACCACAATTTACTGCCTTTCATACAAGAGATGTGTGCCTTTCATCCAGTCTAAATTGAGTACATATTTGCCGTTATGTCATATTTACAAGGTCAAAAACTAAACTGCCTTGACCAAAATGTTAAGGAATGAACATCTTAGAAGTATCTCTTAAGAATTCAGCTTGCCAATAAAGATGTTTTAAAATTGAAAATTTAAATTAGTAACGTTCAAAGTTGGTAACACAAGCAAATTAAACTGGAGAATTTTGATACTTAATTTCTTTAAATTGTATTATTTATCACACTTAGTTCATTTGTAATAGTGGATAAAATATAATGACGCTCAATTTAGCACTATTTGATCTACATATTTAATTTCTTATACAGATGCATATTATTTATATTTTTAAAAAATAAATTATAGTGACTGGTAAAAATAATAAAGAATATATTATTTGAAAATAAAATTGTATATACTTTCTACATTTCTCCATCACTTCACTGACATCCTAAGAAATATCTAAGGCACATAAATTCATACTTTTTAGAAAGAAAAATATACAAAAGTGTATCTTAATTTTTTTTTGTTTTCTTTTTTTTTAAAATTCAATTTATTTAAACTTAAAAAAAAACAAACAGTTCATCCATTTCTCCCACCTCCCAACCCCCACTTCTGGCAACCACCAATCTATTTTCTGTATCTGTGAGCTTAGATCATCTTTCTGTCTCTCTCCATCTATCAATATAGACAGATAGATAATTTTAGATTCCTCATATAAGAGAAATAATCAGATACTTGTCTTTCTCTATCTGACTTATTTCACTTAGTATAATGCCCTTGAGGTCTATTCATGTTGCACAAGTGGCAAGACTGTATTCTTTTTTATGGCTGAATAATATTCCATTGTGTATATATACCACATCTTTATATATTCATCTATCAGTGAACACTTAGATTATTTCCATGTCTTGGCTATTATAAGTAATGCTACAATAAACATGCGGGTGGCACGTATTTTTTCAAATTAGTGTTTTCATTTTCTTCAGATAAACACCCAGAAATGGAATTGATGGGTCATATGGTAGTTCTACTTTTAATTTTTTGAGGAACTTCCATATTGTTTTTCATAGCAGCTGCACCAATTTACATTCCCACCAACAGTATGCAAGGGTTCCCTTTTCTCTTCATCCTTGCTAGTCTTCTTGATAACAGCCATTCTAAAAGGAGTGAGGTAGTATCTCATTGGGCTCCCAGGATACCTCTGATACATAAACTGATCAACCCAGAGCCATACCTCCTTTATCTGGCCATATCAACCAGGAGGCAGAATTCTTCTGCCTTAATCATCCGAGGGACAGGTCCAGGTCCAGGTAGCAGGCAAGTAGGGAGCACCCTTAGAGCTTAAAGACTGCCAAATTTTTTCAAACTAACCAAACCTAATCTGTTTATCCTGCCCTGCCTTGCCTTTCCCTCAGAAAATTCAAGCCTACATGCCCTCCTCTTCTCTGCCCCTTCTGGCTCCTGACTCATACCAGTGCTTCCCCATGCTGCTCTTCATGGTATACCATGCCTTCTCTTTCTAGGACCTATGAGTATAATAAACTTTGTTTTTCTGACCTCCTCCTGGGTCTCCTCTTGTAGCCGTATCTGAATGATCATTACATACAAGAACACAGAACATGATGTTTATGTTTCACTTGTGTTCCTGTTTTATACATGCAGCATTACTGCTAATTGTCCATCAGGCTCTATTCTCCCTTGCTACCTTTTAATAACAGACACTATTAGGTTTAGCTGCCTGTGACTGCCTGGCTAGAGGTGATATTTCTCAGCCTCCCTTGCAGCTAGATGTGGCCCTGTGATTAGGTTTTTGCCAAACTTATTATACAGATGAGAAATAAAACTTGCTTTCGTGCATCTAAAAGGCAAAACTAGGAACATCTAGCAAGTATATAGAAATGAGTTTCAATTAAATATAATTACTTTCTAACAATGGCATTCTTTAGAGGCTACTGCCCTTCCAACACTGTATCTTCTTTTCAATCAAAGGTTGGATACAATAGGAGAGACTTCTAAACTGAATAAAACTTTGGAATAGATATTGCTTAAAGTTTCTTCCAGCCCTAATACTCTACAATTCTAGCCAGATAGGAAAAGAAAAGTTGGGACAAGGAAGAGAAAGTAGGAGGCAGGACAAAAAGGTCAGAGAGAATGAGGCAAAGAAGAGGAAGGGGCAAAGAAAAGGCAACCTTGAGAACCAAGAAATAAGATTACTGGGAAATACATCTGAGTAACTAGAAAAAAATTTTCTTGAATTTTCATTTTTATACAGTATCAAATTTCACATACCCCTACCCTTAAAAAAACCCACAAAATCTTTCAAACAAATATATTTAAAAATCTAAAGGGTAAGCTCTAGATTCAGAGTATAGACATAAAATTATGTTTCATGGTTTCGAGATTAATTTTATTGGAATTGAAAATTCCTCTTATTCATCATTTATAATAAGTAGCAGTTTTACACTGTTTGATTGATTCATGTTATAATCATGGAGTAATTTACTATCCTAATTTATAACATGACGTCTGTTGACACTTGCCATACTTACATCTGCACTAGATTCTGTCACTTTACAAACATCTTAGTTAATGGCCCCCTGCAAGCTATTAATAAGTTTAATTAAAGCAAATAAGGTAAAGGACTTTGTCACACTCATCTCTGCATTGTCTCCAGTGCTTAACACAATGCC